GGCCGCAGCAAGTGTGCCAAGGAGCGTCCCTCTGAGCAAGAATGGAGGGAGGGCAACTGGAAAGAGGGGCCGAGGTGGCCACGGGCGGCAAGGAACAGCCTCTAGCCCGACCCATAGCTTCTCTCTCGCATGCGCTTGAACACAGTGATTGCTTCTGAGCATCTATTAACAAGTCAGCACCACTGGGCGTAAACAAGAACAGGAGGGAAGTAGAGAGAGACAAGGAGCTCTTGGACAGAACTGGCCAAGTCCACTGAAGCCCTGTGAAAAGTCTTAAAGGCGGAACCAACAGACTGGAAATGTTATCCTGGCAGCCCCTGCTGGTCAAAAACCTGTCTGAAGCCCTATGAACCCCAGACCTGGCACGGCTGTATTTTTTAGAAGACTGTATATATTCGTTTAGCTTTCAATGTAACCAATTTTAAAGATTAACAACATCCAGTGCTAGTGAGGGTCCCCACACAGTTGTTTGGAATATAAATTATCACGTAAAAGGTGGATTTTTAAAGGTGTATATCTTTTCACCTTGGAATTCTACAGAAACTCCTACATGGTCTACAAATAAGTATTATGAAACTGCTCATTGCGATATTACAAGAAAAAGGAAAAGGGGGAGGGGGAAGGGAAGAGGAAGGAGAAAGGGAAAGAAGAGGGAGGGGAGGGGAGGGGAGGGGAGGGGAGGGGAGGGGGAGGGGAGGGGGGGGGAGGGGGGGGGAGGGGAGGGGAGGGGAGGGAGGGGGAGGGGAAAAGGACCAGCTCGCAACAAGAAAATGAAGCCTTACACAATGTAACTTTTCATGTTAAAAAAATGTAACAACACAAAGAAATAATGTGCAGCCTTTCAATACGGGCTAGGTTTGTATTAGCATGGAACCCATGTCTGTGATATTAGTTTTTTTAAATGCGTTACACAGAACATTGTGACACTATATTATTTTTATTGAAAAAAAACCACACACACTCTTTCTCACACACAAAGGGTCAGGAGGGCTTTATTTTTAGAGTCCTGGTACCACCTTGGAAATATTTTTCCTTTTTGGCAAAAGCAAATGGGGTTAATACAGTTTATTGTTCTTAAGCCAGGTTAAGAGCTCTGTCTCCGAGAAGGGACAATAAAAACTGGCTAATTTCCAGCCAATCATTTCTTCAATTAGAAATCATGCTTTCTAAGCTTTTCTTTTTTAATACAGAGAAACATGCCTGTGCAAGTCCCAAATGAGAGAAAGAATTGCGACTGGGTGTCACCGTGAACCCACAATTGCAGACAAGTAATGAAATGGATCGGAATCCCAGTTCGCTAGAGCAGGGCGGGCTGCAGGCAGAATCCTCCAGCACCCCCATCCCAACTGCCCTGTGAGCAGTGCTGGTTCTAGGGCTGAGACATTCTGAATGACAGAGGTTGACAGGATTCTGCCTTGAGGCACAGGTCGCAAGCATGGCAAGACAGCATCTGAATACTGTTCAGGGAAAAGGCACCCGTGCCTCTGGCCCTGGAATGCTCAAGTGTGTTTCATCATGATAAAAGGTAACAAGGTACAGCCCGCTGCAAGGAGAGGAGGCCATCGGGCCCAAGTGCGGCTTGTAACCTGGGAACCCTGGGAGACTGGGAGCCCTGGCAGACACGGCCATTGTAAAGAACATTACGAGGGAAACTGCTTTTTCCCCTTTTATAAATCCTTTCTTCCCCCTCTTTTTTAAATATTAACAGGTTTTAAGTTATATTTATAACTTTGTAAAGTGAAAAGACATTTTAAAGAAATCCCAAACCAAAACTTGTTATAGGAAAAAATGTACTTTTCTTTAGACATTCAGAGAGCATATTCCATTTGCTCTCTCCCATGACTGCAGATAACAGAAGATTCCAGAGATGAAGGCTTTGGAAGTGCGCAGACAGCTGGGAAACACTCATCAGGAGTTCAGTGTGAAGACTTATCAGCAGAGACCAATCTACCCAGGGCTGCCACCCCTGTGTTTCTGCTGAGATCCACCAGCAGCACCTGAAAGTCGCTGCTCTCCAAACAAGACTGATTTTAGGGCAGCAAGTGAAAGAAGGGAAATTACACCGTTGGGTTCATTTAACAAATATCTGGGCTCCTGGCTGAGTGCTGGACCCTGGGAGACTGAATGGGCGAAGCAAAAACCTTCCTCTCGATGGGTTCACTTCTACAGAGAAATTGGCTTCAGATGCGGGAAAAGAGCTCCACTGGAGGGAATTCAGCCAGACACAGGTGGAACAAAGAACCGGTGGCCAACAGGAGTACACAGGGTTCTACAAGTGTCCCATCTAAAACAACTCTAAGTCACAGTCATCTCCCTCCTTTCACCGTTGAGGAAACAGGTCCAGGAAACAGCACTGGTGCCTGTATGAGAAACTGAGACTCCTGTCAACACACACAAAGACACAGTCGTACACCACAGAGCAGGGATGTGCCTCCAGTTCCCACTGGCTGCGGAGCCCAGACTCTGGATAAAAAAGCAAGCATAACCCTGTAAGCCTAAATAAGCAAGAAGGGGCTGCTTTTCAGATCCAGTTCCCTCTCGGTGTGGGTGTGGGTGTGGGTGGGCCCAGCCCAGCACTCCAGACGGGAGGTACAGGCATGGATTTAGTAACACAGAGTTTGCATACAAGTGTAATAGCATGGTTCCTGTCCTTGCCCAAAACGTAAGAGCAGAGTGCACACCTTGCCATGGAAGCCTGGCTACGTGGCTCCAACTTAATTCTGCATTTGGTGTTGAGTGGCTCCCTATATACATTAAGCCAAAATCAAGGGGCCTAATTGAAAACCTGAAATCCATACAGCATGAGAGTAGCATATCTGATACATAATAGACACAATGACCCTGAGCACAGAGAGCCTATTTGGAGATTGTCTTTGATACAGAAACCCCACAGAATGGCTAAAAAATGGTTTTCTGTACACCCTGAATCAGCCTGACCCCTCACTTCTGCCTCCCCCCACCCCCCCGCCGTGAGCTTTCGAGGACTATTGGCAGTGCTGGCTCTGAGGCTCAGCGGCAGCAATCCCAGTCCCCTCAGAGAGCTGTCCCCTGGGAGGCTGGCTACGGCCAGCAGAGGGGGGTGAGCACTGGCCTCCAAAATCAACAAACACATGCTTGCCTCTTCCCTGTTCATCTCTCCACACAGTGAGCAGGATCTTCCCTTAATTCACGGGGTTAAAGTGCTACAGAAACAACCCTTTAGAGTTGACACACAGGGGTATAATCGGGGAGGGGGAGAGACAGAATAACAGAAATAATCAGCGACTCAAGGTCCAACAGACTGGCTACACCCCCTACCCAGACCCGCCTTGCTCTGTGAGCCCAGGCGAGTTACCTCGCCTCCGACCTCAGTCTCGCCCTCCGTAAAACAGTGACAACCTGCTCACGGGCTGTGGGGAGGCTGAAAGCACAGGACTGTGTGACGGGCACTTTGCCCAGTGCCTAGTGCATCTTAAGTACTCCATAAACGGCTGCTAAGACTGTTAAGTGCTCACGTGGAGGATCCAGTTGGCTCCTTGGAAAACTAAACACAACCTTTGAAAGGCCTGACTGCAGCAGCGCAGTGGTGCCAAGCCCACAACCACACGGGGCATATCAAGAGAACAGCCCCAGGGCCGGTGCACGGCCTGGACCCGAGACTCTGCTGGCAAAGTCACCCTGAACTTCCCCCTCGGTCCACTCTGAGGCTTCTGTGGTCAGTGCCCAGCATGGCCTCTCCACCCCCCCCCCCCCCCCCCGCGAAGAGCTGCATTAGCCCAGCTGACACAGGAACCTTAAGAACCAGGAAAAAAAAAAAAAAACCCTCAGTCTTCTTAGAAATACTAACATGGAGTAGCCACACTGTGGAGACCCCTACAGGATTTCATCTCATAAATCTAAAAGGCACATTATTTAAGGCAGGGTTTCATTGGTAAAAGCACAAGTGGCAATAACAATATTAAGGTACAAACTCACAGTCACGGGTGAGAGTAACAGGCTCCCATACTCTACAGCCAGGCTCAGCTCCCTGACCACTTGGCCCCACACCACTGAAGCCAGACAAAATCCCAGTGGGTATCTGGATGGCTTCACAGGTACAGACTGCAGGCAGTTCACCAAGGTTCACACTCAAGGCCAAGTCTCATACGCATCAAGAAGCTTAGACCTTCCTTCTCCAAGTGTGATCTACAACCCGGAGGCGTGGGCATCACCTGGGCCTGGTTAGAAATGCAGAATCTCGGGCCCCACCCAGACTACCCAATCAGGTTCTGCATTTTAACAACACCCCCCGATGACGCTCCTTTAGAGTATTCACAACAAAGCCTACCCAGATAGAGTTGTGAGAGTTTATTTAGGTTTCTATTTGATCTTTTTCTTTCTTCATGGAAGTTCCATGACGGCATCAACTGCCTACCTTAGCCACTGGCAGGTAGCACTCAAATATTCATTGGTTGAATGAATGAGTGGTCTACCAAGTGACTGAAGAGACCTATCCTGTCAAAGGATAGACCAAGTGCAAATAAAGATGCAAGCAAGGGTCTGAGAGAGAGAATGCCTGGGTTGGTGGGAAAACATCTTTAAACGAGGTCATCAGATAAGACCTCTCCAAAAGGGGTTGGCGTGAGGGGCTGCATTAGGACAAGAAAGTGAATGCTGGCGAAGAGGACATCAGGCAGGGGGGACAGCACCCGCATGTGCCACCCTAAAGAGACTTTCCCTGCAGGCCAGTAAAGATAGAGAATTAGGTTTGCCTCTGGTAGTAGAACAAAGACACTCCATGGAAGCAGACTCAGAAGGCCCCACGACCATTATGACTGTTGGGGAAAAGAAGGCTGTGTCTAAAGTCACAGCTGCCTCATACTGAGGCTCTTGGAGCTCAGTATGAGGGAGGCTGGCTATAGAGGCAGGCAGTCCATCAGCTGCCCTGGGCGGACTTTGTGACTGCTGCCCACAACCCCTCCGGGCCTCAGATTCCACGGGCCTGCAATTGCTTGCAAAGTAGAAACATGGAGATTACTCACTGCTGTTGACAAGTCAGTCCAGGAACGGTGGGGAGCTAAACATCCACGGGTCCAGGAGCCCAGTCCAGATGTTACCCTGCAGCAGCACACTGGCAAAGAAGAGAAATGACAGGTATCAGTGCAGGTGGCCATGTCCACAAGTGAGCAACATTCTCCCAACACTGAGTGACCCTGACGTGGTTCAGCTGACAAAGAGGGTGAGGAAAAAATGTTCGCAGGGGGGCAAACAGTCTCGGAGTGCTGGGCACTGGCGCGGCTGGCAGCCCGCTGCCTGCAGTCTCGAAAGAGGCCCCATCCCGCTGCCAGCAGCTCTGGGAGGCCTCTCTCCTCGAACCCCACAATGCAGAGTCCGGACACACGGCTGCAAAGAGCCCTTGGAGATCATGGGCCCCAACCCCGCTCTTCACAGACGTGAAAAACCGAGACTCAGAAAGAAAACAGGCCTCACCCACAATCAGCAGTGAGTAACGGCAAGTTCAGGAACGAAATCACAGGACCAAGGCTATAAAGCTTAAATTTACCTGTAAATTACCTTCCTTAATAAAACTCAGTTTCCAAGTAAACGTCATTCTCATTCTGTCCGGCTCTTAACTGAGAAGAGACCGGGAAGCCCGCTACGCCACATCTCAACCATCCCCCTGGTTCTTTTCCCTTCATCCCCAAGGACTTTCAACAGCCAAACTGAAACTCCTGGTTTTCTTCAGAAACAAAGTTTTTAAAAAGCAAAAAACAAAACCCCAGAACTGTTCACAGCTGAGTACAAGAAGAAAATCTAATAAATTTTTAGAAGAACCTGAAGACCTAAAACTTGCGAATTGTTGCGATCTGAAGAACAGAACAGAAAAAGAAAGCTCCTTGTCCATACAAGAGGGTTCTGGGCCCCGGAGCCCAGAACCCTCCTGGAAGCAGTACATTTCACAGAGAGTGTTGCCAAGGGTCATTTTGTTAAAATGAAATAGATGATCAAAATGCTAATTCTCTAGGAAGTGTCTTCTGATTATAGTTTTTTAAACTAATCTTCATCTAAGTATATATTTAAATCATAATTATCTAAATAGCTGCGCCTCTTCCTCTGGGACTCCAGTTCCAGCTGACTGACAAGTTGAAGTGACCTTGGGCACATCACACCTAACCTTACAGACCCCTCGGTCCGCTCACCTGCAAAAAGAGTGTGGGCAGGATAAAACTCAGGTGTCTTTCAGCTACAGAATTCCAAACTTCCCTTATGAAGCTGCAAGTACCTCACATTAAGTCAGCTTATGCAAAGCATAATTACCAGCCTACTTTGCAGAAGTGAATGTCAGTTATTATAAATTTAAATTGCCATATCTCTTAGGAAATAACTGTGAGGTTGGTGTAACAATAGTTGTATTTTGTTTCTAAGGAGTTAGCTTCAGCAATGACAAATCTGTCTCCACCCTCACTAAATGGGCATTTGGATCTGTTTCCCCAAAGATCCATTATTATTTATAAAGCAAAAGGGTTTCTTTTGCATAAAGTGGAATTTCGTAAAGTGGAATTTAGGCAATGAGGTCATTTGTTTTGAAAATACAACCATTCCAATTTTTTCTTCCAGTTCAGCATTCTAGTTACTCTGGGTTAAGAGGAGGAGATGGAGGTTTCCGAGAAAACTCAAAGCCTGTTAGGCCACCCACGGCATAATCAAGGATTCCACCCCGGACAATCCATGTATATATAACTTACTGCTCATTTCCCTCCCAACAGCTTAGCACACTGAAATGTATGAAGCCAACGCAGACTCACACTCAAGCAGACCCAACACACGTCGAGAAATCTCCAACCACCCCAGGACTCATTTAAAAACAAACACAACCCACCACAACGGCCGCATTATTCCTTATCCTAATGGGGAAGGGTCTGCCAACTCCTCTGGAAATATGATGGACTGTTTTCCTGCAAAGAATGAAATGCCTTCAGTTTCAAAGGGTTTGTGAGCCCCCTGAAGTTTCTCTCTGTGCCTCTGGTTAAGGACCCCTGCTTAATTAAAATGTTATAAGGAATCCCCTTCTGTAACGCTCTCTCTGAACGTTCTACAACCCCTTTGCAAATGGGGTTGTGTATGGCAACCCCATTTACAAAGTGATACCCAAGGGCAGGGACCAGTGAGAGAATGGGCTTCCTGCAGCACTGTGAGGAAAAGTGTGACTCTGCCCCCAGCAATGCTAATGACGTTTGGGAGCCCTCTGCTTCTCCTGGGCTCCTTTGTGTGACAGTTTCAACAGGGACCTTCCCAAAGTTATGACTGTGCTTGATACTCAACTTCCAAAACTTGAAAAACACATATTGTTTAGGAATGCAGACACAGGTAATAAGAATAAGAAAAGCAAGGACTGGTTAAAACAAAAAGTTGAGACACGTGTCACCTCTGAGAGGAAGAGGGAGCTTCTAAGGCAGGGACCCTCAACCCCCAAGCCACAGACTGGTACTGGTAGGAGTCAACAATTGTTAGGAACCGGGCCGCACAGCAGGAGGTGAGCAGCGGGCAAGCTAGCGAGGCTTGCTCCCACTACCACCTGAGCTCCACCTCCCATCTCCCCACCATCCATGGAAAAATTGTTTTCCATGAAACCGGTCCCTGATGCCAGAAAAGGTTGGGAGCCATTGTTCTAAGGTATTCATGGTGTTGATTTCTTAATCTGGTTGTTGGCTTCAAAAATGCTCTTTTTAAGCTCTTTGAATTATACCTGTATATTTTATAGACTCTTCTATACATATGTCAGAGTACGGCAACTACAACAAGTGACAGATCCATGTCAGTGACAGGGACCTCCCGGAGTTCTCAGCTCTGGTTTAAGAACACTAATCACCCCCTGGAGTGAGTCCGGTGCTGGTCAAGGGGTGGGGCCCCACAGTTCTGGCCCCAGAGGCACTGTCTATAAATACATTTCACCTAAAAGTCCACACCCTGGGACAGTCCTGTGCTCTGGGCTGAGGCCACAGTGACCTCTGACACGGCCTGTCCCTCTGGGAAAAGCTGGTGTTAGGTTTCGAAAACCCATTGGTCTTTCCTCTTACACACCCTGGAGGCCTATTTCCTCTGGCACATTCTGTTACCACGAACAATAGTCAGTACGCATTCCTGAAGAGCTAAGAAAGGAGCGAAGGCCCAGACACTTCTGCAGGGTTTCAGAAGAATGTCTGGGCACCTGCTTCCTCAGGTGGATACAGGCTGGGGCTCCCTACATCTTCTCTTTCAGGTGCCTGGTCACAGCCTTCCTCGGGAGAATTCTGCTCTTTGGTGACTGGTCATCCACTGGCCAGGAACACGGCTGAAGTGTATGGAGACATGACCAGTCTATGTCTCAATTCCTAGCCCTTGCCACATTCTTACCAGTATTATCTTGACCAAATAAGAAAGTATTTTTCTTTCCTAATAATTTGAGCAAGAACATGCCAAGTTATTAGGGAAAAGATCCCTTTTTTGTAATCCCACCAGCAGACAAAGCTGCCATTTTTGTTTTTAGTTACAACAGCCAAACATCGACACTGGGACATCAAACGACCTTTTAACCTGGTTTGGGACAGCCTGCACCCAGGCCCTGCGCGGGGCTGACACGCAGCACCGTGCGGTACCTAAAGGAAATACTGCAGTCCCTTATCTTGTGCTAACGGTCTCTTCAACTCTAATGTGAGTCACAGGTTAAAAAAAAAATAAGCGAAAGCGAAATTAAGAATACAACTCTGCTCTCTAATGAGTCACCTTCAAAAGTAAAACATCCCACTGGCTACTGCCACCTCTACTGCGTTCAAGAAGGGCATGGCTTTCCTGTGTGTGTATGTGTGATGAGTGTGTGTGATTGTGTGAGTGTGCATGAATGTGAGTGTGTCTGTGAGCTTTCACAGGACTGTTCGCATGCACATGCAAGCCCAACATTCTTTTCGATCGACTCAAAACAATAGCTTGCAGGGAAACCATCAGTAAGAGCTCAGGAAAAGTAAAGGCCTGCCAACTCCAGAAAGACAAAGGGTTTCAGAAACCAACATGGGAACACAGTGATCTCATGTCCCTTTCCCACTGAGACTGGCCTCAGTGGGATCCTTCTCCAATTTGGAGTGCACAGTCACTGTTTCCACCCGAGGGGACCCATTTGGGAAGATGGCCAAGCCAGGAAATAGACTCAAGAGGTAGGTTTTGATGTTTAACCCAGACAATCTACAGACAGAGCTCCTCAGCCAAGGGGGAGGCCGACTAAACTCCCTGTGAGAACTGAGGTCCTGGCTTATCCTCAGGGCGTTAGTCACTATGTCCTAAAGCTAGTTCCTTTAAATCAAGAGCCTGGGCCGGAACTAAAAGTGGGCCCTCCAGTAACAGGCCTGGGTCTTAGGGGCACTGGACTGTGTTACACTTTAATTCCTAGAGATTCTCACTCACCTGGGAGAACACAAGCAGGAAAAGCCCAAAAGCCCCAGGCGGCATGGTGCCCCGCCCACACCATTATCCACACCAAGGCAATGGGAGCAGGTGTACAATGCAGTCCTGAGGGGTGGGTGGGTTGCATCACTGAGCTCCATAGGTAGCTCTGCTCCCCGCTCCCCTGATCATTCACCCCACTTCATTTATTCATTATTCATGGAGGTGCAGGCTCTGCACTAAGTGCTGGGAGAAGAAAACGGTGCTAACGCTTCTAAGGTCAGAAAGTTTTGTAGACACCCACTCCCCACCGCCACCAGCCCCAACACGTACACACAATAGTGGTTCTTCTGGTATCCTGAGAGAAGATATCAAGACAAAAAAGCTCTTAAATGATGTCCTGGCTGGTGTGGCTCAGTGGATTGAGTGCTGGCCTGCAAACCAAAGGGTCGCTGGTTTGATTCCCAGTCAGGGCACATGCCTCGATGCAGGCCAGGTGTCCCCCACCGTGGGGCATGTGAGAAGCAGCCACACACTGATGTTTCTCTCTTTCTCCTTCTCCCTTCTCATTTAAAAATAAATAAATAAAACCTTTTTTAAAAAGCTCTTACAAGAATTTATTTTTCATTGATCCCAATAGCAACTACATACATTTTTAAAATAGTAAAAAGAAAGTATTTCCAGGGCATTGTTAATTTATTCTATAGGCAAACACTT